GATTAGCTTAGGGACGAAGTAAAATACCCGTACGTATTTTATACGTAACTTTCTCGTATAGTATTTTACTAACTATGGTTGCAATCTTGCAATTAAAAAAAATTAACGACAACAACTAAAACGTTCCTCTTTATAGTTGCATTACTCATCGGAATATCGAGAATCAAGCTATCTTGTCGTATCATCTAATAGGTTTTCTCATAAAACATTCTATCAGACACCTTATATGCATTACCTTGGTTGGAGGTGAATAAAGTAATTGATGAATTTTCATCAGAAAATGAGAAGTTTTACCATATATAATTTACACGAGAAGAAAGATTGTGGGGACCTCTAACTCAAGGGGTTACGTCGAATGAAAAACAACGACAACTTGATTAAAGTCAAAATATGGATTTTTGCGAAAAGGTGACATTTGGGTTGTTCTTATCAATCTCACATTGAAACTAAAGTTGAACAAATTGCTGTAAGTAACAAAATTTTAATTGATTTGCGAACGACAAAGACTTGAATGGATGAGAAATACAAGTGTTTGTGGAAAGCGAGGTGTGTCTGTCGAAGGAAAAAGCTAGAAAGAAAAAAAGAATTTTGCAAAGGGTTGCGAATTGAGAGGGATCATAAAGCGAAAAAAGGTAAGTGAATTTCTCTTCTATGTTTTGGGGGAGAAAAGCAATTGTTGGGAATGAGTGCATCCACCACACTAGGTTCGAATTTCGGACCAACAACAAAAAAAAATGCCAACTATTGTGAAGTTTGCTTACAAATTTAAGCACAATGCATAACCACTCTTGAATTAATTTTTAATGAAGTATATCACATTTGTTTACACTTTGATTTCAATACTTTTTAACATTAAAAAATCATATTATTAATTATTCCTATAAACTGAGATACAAAAAGCCACATTAATCAAGGTTTCATATGCCTTGGTGATACGAAAATATACCATAATGGTATACATGATAGGGAAATATATAACTGAAATACAGCAAAATAGATATCAATTTGTAGGTCATAATAAATTCATTTTGTGTGTGACATTTTTGAAATTCGAATTAAAAACGGAAAAAATATACAATTTGATTTAAAAAAATAGGGAATGAATGAAATTCATATTTATATCAACCATTAGATCGATCTAACATATTGAGATTAGTTATAAAGTATGCATAATTTTGCGGTTTCTGACCTAATGTTGTTCATTTTCACGCTCACAAGAAAAGAAAAAAATTGGTCGAGAAAAAAGGAAAGAAAAAAATTGGAATTTGTTCATAATAAATTGGAATTTTGATGACATACATTTTATGCATATTTTAGACTTCATTTCTTAAGTGTTTGAATGTTATAATCATCATACATTGGCCGTTTTATATTGTGTTATATGTGACTAATGTTGATATTCTATAACTTAATAAGATTTATATCGTTTTTTTTCATTTATCTCCTTTTCGTTCATTATCATCATATTGTATACTAGGTTGTGTTGTCTTGCTTTATTTCGTGTCCTATCATGTTAAGGAAAGTGTATAGCAAGTTTCAGATCATTCGGAGGTTGAAGGGTGCGAAGAATGAGCACTTAAGCTGAAGGGATACCAACTCACAGCCCAAACTCATGACCGTGAGAATGGAACTCACAGTCTTGAGTTGAGTGGGCGAGTGGAGTTCATGGGCTAAAATTAGAGATCACAAGCATTAACTAAAGGTTATGGTCTTTGACCTTGGCACGAACCTATAAGTACATGGGGTTATTTTTGGACAAATGGGGCATCATAGAAAGAGAAAATAGAGGTTTATGAATATGTAGAGAGAGACATGAATTGAAGGGTTTTGGGAGTCAAATTTTCATCATCAAACCTTAAAATTCTTCCAAGATTTAATAGGACGGCTCAAATCAAGAAGGAGAAAATGATTCTAGCTCAAGATTGGTGTTTTCTGAATTGGTATTACCCGGAAGCTTCATGGAGGAGAGAAGGTCAACGATCTGCATTCTGAGAACAACCCCTTTTTATGCTCGCCAACCATACTCCCTTATTTATCAAGTTCCTCCACCACTCCAAGAAGAACCTCCTACATACCTAGAGAGGTAGCCTCACCACCCTGAGAGCCTAAGATCAACTCAGGACTTGAATCGTCACAATACATTATGGATATCTGGTGAACATGTTCAAATGCAAAAATTCTCCAATTACAACCTTATACAAGACTTTAACGAGTTACAAATGAGGGTAGAGAAAGAAGAAGAGTATATTGTTATATTTAGGTATTATCTTCCTTTGAGTCACATCTTTGCTCCCGTTCCACAAAGAGAAGAATACAATAAGGCGAGCAATGAAGGTGTTTGAAGGAGTAAGAGATGCTCAAGATGATTGAGAAGTAAGAAGAATGCATTGATTTATTTAGTGAAGATCCTGTTTGGAATTAAATCTTTGCTTCCATGCAACAAGAAGAAGAGGTCGGAGAAGCGAGTAAAGATGATGTTATGAAGGATGAAGAGCAAAATGAAGAAGAGGAAGCGCTTGGTCCTCAACTAGAGAAAAATTTTACTCAAGAAGGAAGAGAGGAGGTTGAAGAGGTTATTGGATCCTTAGGGTTAATTAAGGTTTTGGTGCATAAAGATGTTCTTAAGTATGAGCCAAGCTAAGGTGGCACACCTAACCTTGAGGGGCTTTTTCAAACAGATAAATTTGTCATGTCTCTTTGCCAAACCAAGGCAGCACCATTATTGCTCCTCTTGATGGATGTAATGTTGGTCAATTTTATGATGTATTATCTTGTTAGGGAAAAAGAGAAGAAAGAATGAGGAAATAAGAGATCCCAAAGGTGAACCTCAATCTTCATCAAATCCATGAGCCTTCGTCAAATGTCATACCCATGACTTGAGACTTAACATCACCAAGAATCTCAATTTCAAAGAGGTTTTGGGATGGATCGAGACTTATGAGCAACTGTCTAGCTTATGACGATAATGAAGCAATTGTTGAGGACAACACAACTACGATTTCATTTTATTTACCTTTTACTTTTATAGTTTTTAGGTTAGTAGTGAATAACTATCTCATGTATATGAGTCTCCTCTAACACTTTGTGTTTTACCCCCCACAAAATGAGCTTAATTGGACCTTCATTCGATCTTGTTCACCTTCTCCACTGGCCCTTCAATGTGGTATACTTGTTTCTATCCACATCCACCTTGTGTCATGCACATTAGAGACAATGTTTGATTTGTAGTTACACTTATTCACAGATGTTTGTATGTTATTCTTGTGCTTGTGGTTTGTTGATTGTGAATGGAGTGCATGTATGGTTTTCTTTTTGTGGTAATGGTGAGATGATGATTTTGCATGGTTGTGATTGCTCGTTGTCGGTCAAAGGTTGAAAAATCCTACGCAGTGGCCTTCCACACAGACCGGGGTATATGTAGGGGAACAAAATTCAATGCATATAAATCCATACTTGCCTAGTCAAAAGTGCTACAACCCCCTAAAAAGTACAAAAAAATGAATAAAAAGGTTGTTTGAAAACAAATAAAAAAAAGATAATTGTGAGAACATCTGTACTTCCTACCTACTAGGAGAGTCCACTTGTATGGTCATCTAATTGTTGGCATTTCCTAATTTCTTCTAGTAAGATCTACGCCCTTCTTCATGGCGAAAGAATTGATTGATACTTGTATTGATACCTAGGCAGAGTCCTCTGAATTTGACGTCATGGAATTGTTACCCATCACATCTCATTATACAACTAGGCTTCAATATTCATTAGACTGAGTATCTTAATCTCCAACTAGGCTTCATGCCCATTACTCTATCCAAATTAAGATTGTCGGATTATGATCTCATGTTCTGAAATGAAGTGAGCCACTTTTGAAGTTAATTGTTGTATATACATCTTCAAGGGCTTTATATTGCATGCTCCTTCAACTAATCTCGAAGTCTAGTCTGAATGAACTATTAGCATTGGTATGAATTACCCTTTATGTTATCGCAATTATGTAAATTCTCACCATTGCTCTGAGGTATCCTTAACCTATCGTAGGACAACTAAGCTTCAATATTTGGATTTATACATATTTGTTTGTTGTTCTTTGGAATTTTAAAATCTTCAATCATCATGAGTTGTAGCAATCTCATGTTGTGGTTAAGAAAAACTAGAGAACAGTGGACGTTCAATTTTCTATGGATGTTTGTCTGTGTAATAGAAAATGATTTATGTTGTTATTTAATATAATTACCATACTGATTATTTGGTTTCTCGGGTAGATGTTGAAGTGTCAACGATGACATTGCAAGACAATACCAAGTTATAACTGAAGATAATGTCAAATTAACCCCATCGAAGCTGCAACCAGCTCCTAGTGCTTCGCCACCAACAATATTTGTTAATGAGTTCCCTACAATTATACTCGGTGTTCAACTTGTGAGACAAGAAGGAAATGAGTTTTTTCAGGACAATGTTATTGGATTAATACAAGGTTTTGGAGGGTATGTCGCATGACTTCCTTTGACTTAATGCATATGAGTTATGAGTTTATCACTACTAGTACAATGCATATTTACTGAATGCTACATGTTAAACTCTTCAAATGTGGTAATGGATAATTTGTCGGAGGAACACTCTCATTAAAACCTTGATAAAATATTTGGTGTTGTTGGAAGATTAAAATTCCCTAACTTTCAGTAATTTGGTTTGCCTTCTCGGTAGAATCCCACCACATCATCTGTGTGTTATGTTTGATATTAATGTTTGTCGTGAAACGGTAGTATGAAGACCATCATGATATGCCATCCTCATAAATCAAAACTCTTCTAAAATTAATATCATAGGTTATTTTGTTCTTCGGTTAGCCATGATGTTGTTGATGAGTTTTTGTTAGTCTATTGTTTTTTGGATTTATATTTTTAGAATTTAAACTTCCTTAGTTGTAGGATTCACAAATCACAAGATGCAGAGTTCTGCCATCCAAAGATCAATCTTATAAACAGATTGAGAGACAAAGATACACGACAAACAAAGATATATAACAATCACAAGATGTAATGTTGTCATTCTTTCCATTTTCAATTTTATGTGTTTAACTTGCCTAGAACTTTAGTTTTATGTGTTTTCACTAGCCTAAAAAATGGTGCAATTTTTTTTATCTCGAAGTTACGATAGAGTTGTATAATATGCTTTATTTTTTTTTTCCATGTTCTAGATCCATGATTTTTAAGTTTCGTTTTCAATCACGAGCTTAGATATTTTGAACCCTATTTTTTTTTATTTTGATAGAAGATATTTTGAACTCTAATGTAGTAGGACGATTCTTTTCGCCATTTTCATTAGGGCTGGCAAGAAAATAACTCTCAGAAAAATATTGTGAGACGCTAATTGTTTTCATCCAAAATATTTGATGAGTTGACACTTCATATGAATTCAAGTCATTTTTACTACAAATGTCACGATACCTATGTAAATCTATGACTTTTTTTGTATGCGCACTAGTTTCTTCCTTGTTGTTGATTTTCGCACTCCCAAAACAACGTGTTTTATTCTATTCGAAATGTTTAATTTATTTATAGAAGTTAAGATTGAAATATTTTATTATCATCCACACGTTAGCAATTGATAATTTTATTACGTGTCATTTATTTTTCCACCCTTTATGTCTAGATTTTGAAAAAGCACAATTAATTTTTACACTGAATCAGAAATATAGATACTAGGCGGACAAATCAGGTATTTCACTATTTCCTTAGGGAAGGACTATTTTGAAATACTGAAATGTGGACAATTTTCCCATTTAATTACTTTATTTATACTCGCTTCTAGAACTTTCTCCCTTTTCCCATTTTCCAGCAAAAAGATCTCCTTCTCCCTCGTTTATTCTCATGTAAATCGCGACTCCATGCCAGCCTCGCCAAAATATCGACGGCCGAGATCTCGGTAGGCTTTTTTCGCGACTTTGACGCCTACCTGTCTTCCTAGTTCCTACTGGCAAGGCCAAGGCGAGAATGGTTTTGAATTTTGACCTTTCTGGCTTTTTTTTCTTCTTCTTTTACTTATTTTCCATCGTACGTTTTCCTTGCGCTTCAATCCAGCCCTCTATATTCACTCTCCCCACGACTTTTCCCCCAAACAATACACACACAAACCTCTCATTTAATTTCACACTTTTTTTGCTGCCCGCCCACCTTCCCTTCTCCCTCTTTCTAGGAAGAAAGAAAAAAAACAGAGGAGCAGGGTTTTAGTAGGGTTTTAGCAGCCGACCGCCATGAAAGGTTTCCAGATCTTCCGCAGAGCCTCCACGGCCATTCGTAACCGCGCTACACCGTCCAAGATTCTGATCGTCCTCACCTTCGGGTAAACAATTTTGAGATAAAGGAATGCAGATCTCTCTGTTTTGCTCTTCCCCTGTGCTTTTCCTTTTTCCAGCGCCTATCTCTGATTCTACAATTGTGTGCCGTGATTTGATTTTGCAGCGCCGCCGGCGGAGCCTTTTTGGCGATTTCAGACGACTCGCCGTTCGGGAGCTTGACCGCCGGCGAGTCCGGGAACGACGGCGGGAAGAAGAAGAAGCTGGTGGTGTTGGGAACAGGATGGGGAGGCACTACTTTCCTCAAGAATCTCAAGACTTCCGCCTACGACGTTCACGTCGTCTCGCCTCACAATTACTTCACCTTCACTCCTCTCCTGCCCAGCGTCACCAATGGCACCGTCGAAGCTCGCAGCATCGTCGAACCCATCCGGAACATCGTCCGCAATGTAATCGTCCAACTCCATTGATCTTACTTTCAACCAGTGTTTTATGAATAGATCTCGCACAGTTAATTGTGGTTAACTGGTTATGATTCTTATTTCGTATGTTAAATCGTATTGATCTCTTGTTTGGCGTGCTTGCTCATTTTTCGTCCATACACATTGCTTGAATCACAATCGCGGAGTTTTCGGGCCCCTAGTTGTAGAGAGAAATGAATCATACGCTGAATTGTTGCTTGTTCTGTTTTGGTTTGACAGAAACCATACAATGTGGAATTCAAGGAAGCAGAGTGCTACAGGATCGACCCTGTGAACAAGAAAGTATACTGCCGTTCCATTCAGAATCTGGGTCATGGAGAGAATGAATTCGCATTGGATTACGATGTGTTGGTTATAGCCATGGGAGCTCGAGTTAACACCTTCAACACCCCTGGTGTTGAAGAACACGCCCATTTCCTCAAGGTAAAATAAGAACTAAATCTTAATTAGATCATCATTCTCTTAGGATGTATAAGCAGTTGAGTTGATTGATGTGTCGGCATGTTTGATGATGATAACCAGGAAGTTGACGATGCCCAGAAGCTTAGAAGGTCCATAATCGACTGTTACGAGCGAGCCAGCCTTCCGACCATTAGCGACGAAGAGAAGAAGCGAATTATGCATTTTGTGGTCGTCGGTGGAGGTCCAACTGGAGTCGAGTATGCTGCAGAGCTCCATGATTTTGCCTCTCAAGACTTGGCCAGTCTGTACCCATCTCTGAAGGATTATCTGAAGATCACATTGCTCGAAGCAGGAAACCACATTTTGCCCATGTAAGGCAGAGAAGAACAGATTTTGTTCATGACAAAAAAAAAAAAGGAATTTTTGGGGCTCACCTCTGAAATGTTTTTGCTGTTGTCGTCAGGTTTCACAAGAAAGTTACAGATTTTGCGAACGAGAAGTTCCAGAAGGATCAGATCGACGTGAAGACGGGATCAATGGTGGTGAAGGTTTCCGACAAGGATATCTCCACCAAGAACAGAGCCACAGGCCAAATCGAGGCCATCCCCTATGGGGTCGTTCTCTGGTCGACTGGAATCGCCACACGCCCTGTGATTGCAGAGTTCATGGAGAAGATTGGGCAGGCTGGTAGGCGTGTCATGGCGATCGATGAATGGCTCAAGGTACAAGGATGTGATGACGTGTATGCTCTTGGCGATTGCGCCTCCATAGCTCAACGAAAAGCCCTGGTACGTGAAATTCTGACGATTTTGTTTGCAGTACTTGTATATTGATGTTGCTTGTTTTAATCCGAACCTTGCTGTCTGTACCCATTAGATTTGATGATTATTCCTTCATTCGGTTCTCCAGGAAGATGCTGCGGCTATAATGAAGACTGTGGACAAGAACAATGCCGGTGCTGTAGATGTCGGGGACTTCAAGGAATTCGTGAAAGACATCTACGAGAGGTATCCACAGGTCAGGAAGTACTTGGAGAAGAACAAGCTGAAGAACTTTGAAGCTCTGTTGAGGAATGCTCAGGGGGATGCCCAGAAGAAGATAGACATTGAAGCTCTTAAGAAGGCATTATCTGAAGTCGATTCTCAAGTGTCGTTTCTCCCACCAACTGCCCAGGTGGCGTCTCAGCAAGGGAAATATCTGGCAGCTTGTTTCAACAAAGCTGGGCGCTGCGAGAAGAAACCCGAAGGCCCTTTCAGGTTCCAGGAAAATGCTGGGCGTTACCCTTTCCATCCTTTCAGGTACACTATTGAGAATCCCTTTCTCTTTACATCTTTATTGCTCTTTACTGTGATTGAACTAACAGGATTATCTATTTGCCTTGTTGGTGCTGGTGTGATTAGTTACAAGCATTCTGGGCAATTTGCTCCACTGGGTGGCGAACAAGCTGCTGTCCAGTTTCCTGGAGATTGGGTTTCCATTGGCCATGCCAGTCAGGGTCTCTGGTATACAGTTTATGCAAGGTAAAACTACAATATTAGTCCTGCCCTTAATCCTATATAATCGTCTAAGTATTGCGAGCAACCCATGAGTCAACGTCCCTGTTCCTTTGTTTGAACCATTTTGCAGCAAGCTTGTGACATGGCGAACAAAGGTGCTGGTTGTATCGGACTGGTTCAGGAGATTCACATTTGGGAGGGATTCAAGTCACCTTTGAAGCTGCCACAGGGTTGGTCAAACTGTTTGAGCGTATACACAACAATGTTTTCTAGGGATAACCAAACGACCGTTGTTCTGCAGTTTTATTTTGCATCCCTTTACCAGAAGTGATTTCTCTGCTGGGTTGCCAAGTTTTGATGATTTTCATTCTTTTTGTCGGTATGAGTTGTGATCACAAACAAGAGGAACGAGCTTTAAAGCTCGGTCCAAACAATTTTAATGGCGTTCTTCAGTTTTGTTACAATATCTACATAGCTTGAGAATCGTGATCATATACTCCATTTTTCTCTTGATCAAGCCTTGACAAAACTAAAATTGTTTGGCCACTGGGTTGTTAAAATATAGTATTTGGAAGGTTCCACATAAGTACATAACAAATTAAATGTTAGGTCCCATGAATTATGATTCAACACAAAATTGTCGAATGGCAATTTTGACCTGACCCGATGAATAATCTCCTCAATCTTATATGCACTGACCCGTCCCATTTTTCGGTCTATTTTGTCTAAATTACTTGTAATTTTACTCAAATTACTTAAGATTTACTTTTATCACCTCATATTTTAGCTTTGATAGAATTACAATTAGTTGAGAATGTCGATTTCTCGAATAATTAACTATATTCACATGTTATACTTTTTTAAATAAAAATGAATATTTTTAAAGTTTTTCGCTTAAATTAAATATTCATATGCGTCGACCTATTTCGACCCGCAATCCAAACTAAATTACTCAAACAGGACCTAACCTACCACAAGGCCGGTATGAATACCAAGATACCTGCACCGACCTGCACCATTGTCATTCCTAGCCTTATGGTTGCTAATTTTATTTCTTTATTGTTAGTTTCTTCACTTTGCTTGTGTTATTGCAGGGTAATTATTGTAATTTGTGAAATTGAGTGGAAACAAAATCATTTGGAAAACCTCCAGGTTAAATAATTCAAATAGTACACAATAGAGACACTTCTCTTTTTCTTCACGGACCGATGTTGAAAAGTTTTATTCACATTTGGTTGACTTTGATCCTTAAAGTGGATGCAGTGGAATGGATGAAACATATCCGACCAAGAGCACTTCTACTATGCTATATAGTATTGGTGCTTTAATGTACAACTTAAAGTTGTACCATAACATTAAATGTATGAGTTTAGGTTGTACCATAAAACAATTTGTACCATTATGTTATGGTACAACTTTGCAACTTGAAGTTGTACCATCACATAAAGGTACAAGTTCAAGTTGTACCATAAAAGAATTTGTACAAAAAGTATAGGTACAATCTGAAGTTATACCATAACATAAATGTACAATTTTAAGTTGTACAATAAAGGCAAAAACTTATAGCACCAATACTATATAGCATTGTAAAATTTCTCATCCGACCAATTAGTCTTTGTCAATTGTTTTATAAAATTATAGTCAAAGAACACTATGGCATAACGGATGTCAGTTCATTTGTCCAAAAGTGTTTCACCAGAGCAAAATGAATTTGTCAGAGAACTGACTCGTTCTAACTACAACATCCCAATCGACGGCCAAGTATAACCGCCGACCGGATATTGCATAGGGCAAGCAACCAATAAGAATTTATCGTACCACGGGGGGTCTAGGCTTACCCTACTTTAGGTTTAGAGTTCGTTATCTAGCCAACCTAGGATAGTGATTGATAGAATTAAACTAACTAACCTAGACTAACCACTAACCTAGCTATTTACAAGGTTGAGAGCTCTCTTGGGTTGAATTGTCCTAGGTTCGTCCTTTGGATCGATGTTGGATATCCTCCTAGCTCGATCGACTCAAATACACTACCGCTTGGAGATGGCCTCCTTCAGGGAATGACCCGGAACGGCGAATCAATGGATGGGTACTACTCTATTCAACCTAGGGTATTGTATATTGCTAGGAGACCGGTCGAATCAATTCCCTCGGTGACTACCCGGACAATATACGATAGGAGTGACCCGAAGATGCCAAGGAAGGGGCTCTAAGGGGATTATCCCACTCCTCGGTCAAAAGCTCAAAGCATTAAAGTGGAAACCACACTCATGCCATTCAAGAAAACATCCATCAATTAAGTAAAATCAACAATCAAACTAGGGATTTTGTCACATACATCAACAACAAACCCAAAACTATACCTAGGGTTCTTAAACCCAAGTGAAGGGGGTGAGTTTCTAGAGAGAGGGAGGAGAGATTATAAAGAAACCTCTAGATCTTCTTCTTCTTCTAGGCTTGATTTCTAGATTCCAAGCTTTATCAATTCCTTGAATAAAGCTCCAAGATCACACTCTCTCTCACTAGAACTCCCCTATGGTGTTTTGGGTTGAAACCCTAGAGAAAGAAAGTGTTCCTTCTCCAAAAACCAGCTCCCTTCTCTCTCTCCCCGCTGTTGTTTTTATATTTGCCCGAAAGTGACCAGTTCATGGCTACGTTGGCCAGTTCACGACCGTGAACACCTAAACGCGTTCTCAGTGTCGTCTCCAAAATGGACCACTTCACTCTCCTGGGTTCACGGTTTGTGCTCAATCTTCACGGTCTTGTTGGCCGTGAACCCGTCTCGCGGTAGTAACTGCGGATTTCTCCCTGGACGCCTTGATGTTCACGGCTTGTGGCACCAGTTCACGGTCTTAGAGATCATGAACTCCAATGCCAGGCCGTGAACTGCGGCTGCTTATGGACGCATGCGCTTCACTGTTACGGGACTTCGGACTTTTCTTTGGTTTTTGCGCTTTTTGACCTCCAATTATCCCGAAACTCGTCCTCGACCATTCCACACATGCTAGGACCTGAAATGTATCAAAAGATAAGCGCAACCTAGCGTGAAATATGTCAAGAAATGATGATCTACTAAGCTAAACGAATAAGAAATGAGGGGTAAAATGTGTAGATTTGGGCCCGAATCAGGAACACATATTTATTGATAATGTACTAATTGGACAAGCAATTATGCATTACCTTAAGAGCAAAAAGCAAGAAAAGAAAGGTTATATGTCTCTTAATGTTGATATGGAAAAGACCTATGATAGACTTGAGTAACCATTCTTGTCTGTGTACTTGTTAAATGGGGATTTTGCTCACAAATCACAACGAATTAGCAAGATTAATGAGTGTGTTTCCTTTGTGACATTTTCTGTGATGGTGAATGGTAAGCCTTTTGGTTATTTTCGGTCATTGCGGGGACTGAGGCAAGGGATCCATTGTCTCCCCTCTTGTTTGTGCTATGTACTCATGGTTTATGCATTTGTGGCCCCTCTAAGAGGGAGACAGTAGATGCTTTGATCACTCCCAGGGTGGGTACCTGGTTTGAAGATTGTTTGGGTCATTGTTTTCCAATAGGAATGATTAGGCGAATTTTGGGTATACCACTGCCACAGTTGCCAGCCCCATACAGTCTCATTTGGAAAGATGAGCCATCGGGTTCTATATTGTCAAGTCTATATATCAGCTGGCCTTACAGTGGAGCCATCAACAAGGGGTTGGCATGAGAGTGACTAATTTACAGTTTGGCATTGATCCACCCGCAAATAACCCAAACTACAATGGATTGGTGATTGATGTTGGTGGATAATGTTTTGGAAATTTTCTTCCTGCACTTATTCGGGTGGACGCTGGATGGGTTGCGGGTCACCCAACTCGCTTCCCACTTTCACTTGTCAAAGAGATATTTCTTGTTTATACTATCGAATAGTAATCATATTTACTAACCGTACCACACTCACTATCGACTTCTCATGGTTGAATGTCCATTTGTTATTGGGAATCAAATTATAAAAGCTAATGTATCAAAATCATAAAGAGCGTCGATTTTCTCTGCACAATTGGTTAATAGAGTAATGAAAGATTTGATACCTATACCAAATAATTGAAAACCACGCACATAAAGAACCTTGGTCTCTAGGCATATGTGTTTATTGAGTTTATTTTGTTTGTAAACGAATAATTTATTGGCCAAATGAAAAGTTGGTATGAATAATAACAAAAACTTTACATGTCCAATTACTAGACGGATTTCTAGTAGACATAGTGGGAAGTGTCTAAATTACCAGTGTCTTCCAAATTTGCGAAAAATATTAGTCAGTTCGCTTAATGGTTAGATGGAGAATTCCCTTGTGGGTTAACCCAAAATCTAACCGCATTGACCCACCACCCACCCAACCAGAAGAAGAATGTGGGTCGATAGCGGGTCACAATTCTATCAACTCACTAGTAAGTGAGTGAGTCAATTTGAGACTGAAATTCACCCAACCCACTCATTGCCCACTCCTACAGTCGACACCCATGATGGAGGGAGGTTGTATCTTTCTTTGACATGGCCATCGAAAAGAAGGTTTGGGGTTTTCCCATCCCTCCTAAACTTGAGTTCTTCCAACAACAGAAGCGTTACGGGAAAATGGCAACGCCTGCTTAGGTTATCTAGTTTGTTTGGCTCTTGTTGAGACATTGGAGCACCTATTTCTCCGTTGTAGAGTGACAGTAACATTATGGGAGGGTAGTGGACTGGGTGTTGCTCGAGTAGGGTCTCAAATTTTCCTTGTTTTTTGGAAAAAAGTGGAACGAGATTCTACAACATAACAGATCATGAGATTAGTAGCTTTCCTATGGACAATCTGGACGTCTAGAAATTGAGTTGTGTTTGATCATGTGCGGTATAGTATCTTGGTATTGATTCGCCAATATCATGACCAAATGAATGAGTGTTTAGCTCTACCGCCACAACGTACCCCACTTGTTGCTGAGCCAATAGGAGCAAGTGATGTGAGTGATATAGGGGTAATGAATCTTTTTTTGTGTTTAGTTGATGATGAGGTATTGGCAAGTTCTCACGTGGTTGGGGGATTGGTAGTGAAGAGCAGGACGGGAAGTATGGTTAATGTGTATGGATTTCATTATGTAGGTTTGGTTGATCCTTTCAAGCCGAGTTGATGGCGTTATGGGATGCAATCCAGATCCAGTGGAGTTTTAGGAGGGTCTAACTGAGGTGGGATTTCAAGGGGCCGCGAAAGCTGTCATTGACAAGATCAAGACTCTAGAGTTACATGATGCTCAAGGAGAAGTGATGCTAGAGAAAATCGCTCGGCTCCAGCAACAATATTAGGAGGTTTTATTGGAACTTATTGGTAGGGAAAACAATTTGGCATCCTGTTTGATGGCAAAAGGCCATTTCTTGTTCCCTGCAAATATTGGGGGGTTTTTATTTTCGATAATGGTTTCTTTTTCATTTGTAAACATTGATATTTTTAATTACTTGGTAATACAAGTGAGCTATTGGCAAAAAATATATTGTTTATAAACATACTTTTTTATGGTATATATATATGGTTCAGATTAGCATACGTCAGGCGTACAACGTGTTCACACTTATAATTATTTTTAATTTATTATATTTAAAT